GAATGTTGAATATACCATGGACTGCCAGAAGAATGAACAAATCTGTTTTGGAAGAAGTACAGTGAGAATGCTCCTTAGAAACTAGATGGCCGGACTTTGTCTCACCTACTTTGGTCATGTTATCAGGAGGGACCAGTCCATGGAGAAGGATATCATGTTTGGTAAAGTGGAGGGTCAGTGAAAAAGTGGAAGACCCTCAACGAGATGAATTGACACAGTGGCTGCCACGATGGGCTCAAGCATAGCAACGATTCTGAGGATGGTGCAGGACCGAGCAGTGTTCTGCTCTCTTGTACACAGGCCTCTATAAGTGAAAACTGACTCAATGGTACCTAACAACCACCACACCGAGTTAAGGAGAAAATAACAGGATTGAGCAATAGGCATTTGGGAATCTTTAATGTATGTAGTAACAAGAACATATCAAATCTTTTTTTTTTTTTTTTTACCTTATTGTTCATTTCTACTGTCAAAGAAAAACAATAGATCCCTGACCCTGTTCTATGACTAAGTTGGATAAGAATAGGTTTAAAATTTTCCCCTGTAAGACATAATAGGAGACGTGGTTTAAATGAATAAGCCAATTTTACAAGTTTGATATCATGGTTTTTTAAAGGGAAAACATGGTGACAGGAACTTTTCTTAGGAAACACCACAGTTCTTTTATTATGCAACATCAGTGAAGGCACATATTCTAAAAAAAAAAAAAAAAAAGATCATTTTTAAGGTGAGTGTGTTATGATATTGAACATTCCTTCTAAAAGATTCCAAGTGGGAATGTTAAAACAAAGCTTTGTAAAGAAAGTGAAACACCATCTCCATCTTGTGTCTGACTGTTTTCACTATACCCACAGGCCAATGAAGAGGATGTGGAGCGAGGGATATCATTGCTGATGTCAGATGGATTTTGGCTGAAAGCAAATACCAGAAAGATGTTTACTTGTGTTTTATGGGCTATGCATAAGCATTCGATTGTGTGGATAATAACAAATTATGGATAACAGTAAGAAGAATGGGAATTCCAGAACACTTAATTGTGCTCATGAGAAACCTAGACCAGGAGGCGGTCATTCGATCAGAACAAGGGTTTAAAATAAGGAAAGGAGTGCATCAGGGTTGTATTCTTTCACCATACTTATTCAATTTGTATCCTGAGCAAATAATCTGAGAAGCTGGACTATATGAAGAATGTGGCATCAGGATTGGAAGAAGGCTCATTAACAACCTGTGATATGCAGACGACACAACCTTGCTTGCTGATAGTGAAGACAACTTGAAGCACTTACTGATGAAGATTAAAGACTACACTCTGCACTATGGATAACATCTCAACATAAAAAAAACCCCAAAAATCCTCACAACTGGACCAAAAAGTAGCATCATAATAAATGGAGAAAAGATTGAAGTTGTCAGAGATTTTATATTGTTTGGGTCCACAATCAACACCCATGAAAGCAGCAATCAAAAAATCAAGACGACATATTGCACTGAGCAAATCTGCTGCAAAGGAGCTCTGGTAGCATAGTGCCTAAGGCACTTGACTGCTAACCAGAAGGCTGGTGGTTCAAATCCACCAGCCACTCCTCGGAAGGAAGGGTGGGCAACGTATTTCCATACTGCCTCAGAAACCCAAGGAGGGGTTGCTATGAGTCAGGTCTGGCTCGACAGCACATAACAACAACAATAAATCTGCTGCAAAAGACATCTTTAAAGTGCTGAAGAGCAAAGATATCTGTTTGAAGACTAAGGTGCACCTCACCGAAGCCATGGTATTTTCATTTGCCTCATATGGATGTGAAAGCTGGACAATGAATAAGACTGAAGAAGAGTTGATGCTTTTGAGTTGTGGTGTTGGTGAAGAATACTGAAAGTATCATGGACTGCCAGAAGAACTAACAAATCTACCCTGGAAGTGCAGCCGGGATGCCCCTTGGAAGTGAGAACGACCTGACTTCGTGTCACCTATTTTGGTCATGTTGTCAGAAGGCACCATTCCCTGGAGAAGGATACCATGCTTGGTAAATTGGAGGGTCAACAAAAAAGGGGAAGGCCCTCAACAAAATGGATTGACACAATGGCTGCAACAATGGGCTCACATATAGCAAGAATTGCAAGGCTGGCACAGGACTGGGCAGTGTTTCATTCTGTTGTACATGGGGTCATTGTGAGTCGGAGCCAACTCAACAGCACGTAACAACAACAACAATAGGCTTATGAAACTAAACAAACCCCACTGCCTTAGGTGGATTCCAGATTCACAGTGACCCTAGAAGACAGAGTAGAACTGCACCATAGGGTTTCCTAGGCTGTAATCTTTCTGGAAACAGCCAGCCACATCTTTCTCCTGCAAAGTCACTAGTGAGTTCGAATTGTCAACCTTTTGGTTAGCAGCCGATCACTTAACCACTGCACCACCAGGGCTCTTTATAGGCCAATGAGGGCTGATTACTACAAAAGATCACACTTTGGATTCTCAACAATTACAGAATATAGCTTTATTTATAGAATCTTACAAATAAAACATTTATAGTCCACATAACATAAGTTATTCTCTTTTTTAATTTCTTCTCCTAACACCTGAGTTATTTTAAAAAAATACTGTGATGGAACTGCAGAACTGTAAAGGGAAATATGAACAATAAAGACCTAATCTCTATCTTTTGCAAAAATCAAAGACAGCTTTTTTTTCTTTTTTAAAAGCAGATTTCCAGCATATTACCATCTCTTTGAAAGAGGACTTACTAAAAAAATAGACTTCAGGATACCCAAACAGAGAAGCCTTTTTCTTTAACCCAAGGAAGGACCAATGAAGGGTAGCCCCAAGTTGACACTAGACACAAAATACCTTTTGGGGCAAGGACAGAGGGCAACCTGTATCCCAGGGTAAGGCTGACAAGTAGCAGAACGCCTCTCCCTGGTGAGTGCCCCTGTATATGATGTATACTTTTCTTACTAAAGTTAGTAAGAGCTGGTTCATCTGGAGAAAAAAGGTTGAAGATGTTAATGTCAGGGGTGAAAAATTCCTCAAAATAACTTGCTATTCCTTAGACTTCTAGTATGTACAAATGCTTAAAACAGCAAATTCAACACTTAATAGTCAAAAAGAAACTGTCACACTTTCAATTTATGAGGCAGATCTGTTGCCAATTGCAATAAAATCATTAGTCAGATTATTTGAGTGTTTTCACCCCCTGCTAAGCCCCAGTGATGACTGGCCTCTGCACCAATTATAGTTTAAAGAATTTCCCTTTAAGTCAGCTGTTTATGAAAAGCTCTTGAGATAGGTATGAAAGAAAAGGGAAAGGACCCTACTATTTCATATTTTATTTTTTAATTTGTTTCTCCTAAACTAGGAACCCACTAGCTCTAACTTAGTATTCTACTTCAAGGCAAATGTTATTTTTAAGGAATGGCAGTATCGCTAAGGAATGCTAAAGATATCAATTTAATACGTCAGTGTGAGTTAATAAGTAAAGCAAAATTTTCCAAAGTCTTAGTTTTCAGTGTTATTGTCTGCTAGCTCCTAAAAGCATTTTGAGAAAAATAAAACAGAAAAGACAAAGAATTGTTTTGAAACAGTAATAATAATGATAATATAAAAAATTAGATTCCATCATTGAAGGAAATGGTTCTTTGGTAAAACTGGATCATAATCTTATCAGGAATCAATCCTGACATTTAATCTAAATATCGATAACTAAAGTTTTCCTCCTTCTTCAGCTTATTCTCAAATCCACCAGTCAACAGTGAGATAAGGAGAAAAACTCTAAAGTATTGCCAGCAGTTTTCCTTCTCATGTTCTTTTCAAGAATATTCCTGGCTTGGGGGAAGTTCCCCAAGAAGAAAAAACAAAATAGATGCTTTTGATTATCGTATGGTGGAAAGATTTTGTGTGTAAGGACAGAAAAACTCTTAGGTGTTGGCAATGAACCAGTACTCTTGTCAGTCATGCACACAAAGTTTGCTAACACAGCCCCTAGGCTGCAACTGTGGGCACCACTAAGGAAGGCTTCTGGAGAGTTGGGATCCCCAAAGTGGCTAAAGAATCTCACATTATCAATATGATAATAATAAATCAATTCACCTAGTGAACCTGGAGATGAGCTCCCCCTGAAGCCAGAGTTCTGAGGAGAAAGCTCCACAGTCCTGAGGCTGGCCAACAGTTTCACAGACAAGTATCTCTATCCATTTTCTGAAGAGAGTTAAAGCAATTAATATTCAATTCAAAACAGGACTCAACCTTTTTTTGGTTTGGGGGTGAGGGAGGAAGCAGTAACCTAGACAGTGCAATTGAAAACCCATTCGCTCTGCCACCACCAAATCTCTGATCATGCAAACATCTGCAGGTCAATCCAAGTTTCTGACCTTATAGCTTAGAGTCCCCTATTCCTCACCCTTTTATTTATGTCATTAGAAAATTCTAAATCTTGCCTGCACTGATTCCATTTCTGATTACCCTTGTTCTAAGCAGACACTCCAATCCTCAAAGCCATCTTGCTGCTCTGCAGCAGTCTTGACCAGGGGAAGTAGGCTTGTGCAGTCTCCCCGCTAATACACATGTCTTAAATGTGCTCAGAGTGTGCTTCTAAGGAGGCAGCTAAAAAGTCTGTCAGAGGATGAGAGTGAAGAAAGGGAAGCGGAAATCACAGCAAAACCAACAAATTTCTTGCAGATCTCCCTCCTGCCATTCTGTCTGTGTTAATCTGAAAAGGCCCAGGCAACTGAACCTACATGGCAGCTCAACTAAACAGTCCTAAAACACCAGGGGCACTGCCACAAAACCAGAGGGGATAAATGGCCATCGCTACAGGACATACCCATCCAGTTCTACTTCCCTTCTCATTCATTCATTGTCTCTCCTCTTGTCCCACTCCTGTGTTCTCAGTTTCAGCTCTCTTTGAGAGAAGTAATAGGCAACTGAACAGACTTTGAAAAAAATGGCAGGAATGCCTGCCTGTCTCCTGTACTTTCTCTGTAAAAATAAGTACACCCATTTCAAAATGGACCATCTTGAGGTCCAGGGTGATATTTAGATTCATGGGCCCCAAACTACACATTTAGCTCCTGATATTTCTAACCAAGTTATGACCCCTGGCTATGTTTTTCATGTATGCTAAAGGATTCAAAACCTCTCAGCAGTGGTTCAAAGAGTAAGAGGTCAGGGTAACCAGAGAAAAAAGTGAGGCTTGTCTTCTAAGTTGCATTCCATTCCAGAGTTGCTCTGGGAAAAGAGGGTAGGAAAGGCTGAGAGGCACTACCTAGAGACTGGTTACCAGATTCCTAGGACTGAGCATTTTAAAAACAGCTGACATCTGAATGCAGGAATACAGTCTGTGTTATAGTTCTTAATAAAATTGCTTCTTCTGTGGGCCTTCATGGATGCCGAGTCCTCAGGCCAGGGATCAGGCAGCCAAGGGTCCCACTTCCAAGCTCACTGGCTCTTGGCAGGGCTCTAGCCAATCTGGATCTGCCCTGAATACATAGTGAGGACCAGCATGATGGTGAATCCAGTTAAGAGGCCTAGGTTCTGGATGACAAAGGAGATCAAGACACTGCCCTTCCTCTCATCCTCTTGGCTGACCTCATTCATCTCAGGGAACTGAGGAAAAAAAACAGAAAAACAGAGTTATTATTCTTTTCCTAACCTTCTAAGTCCAGGACAAATTCAGTAGTTGGTTTTATATATATATATATATATATATACACACACACACACACACACACATATATATATAAAACTGGCTTACAAAGAAAATTAAGAGCAATAGCATCTAGCCCTTTCCTCAAGGAGGTTCTCACCACTTTACCACTTTCTAGGTAACGCTACACATCTATGTCACCCTTACTTAAATGTGTTTAGATGCCGACTAAACATTAATGCACTGGGATCAAAATAAACTTTTTATTGTGGACTTTGAAAACACTTGCAAAAATATTTTGCTAACAAAATGTTGTTGCTTCCTCTTTGGGAAATTAAACAACTATGTAGGTAAAGGGATAGAGATTGGAGCTAGGGCATGGTTGTGATTCAAGGCCTTTTGTTTCTGGGAACAGGGAGCGAGGCCAGGGAAGCAGGTGACATCCAGGAGGCATTCCAATTCAAATAATGCAAAATACATCCTAACCATGAGGCAGGCTCCTCTCGGGAGGAGAAAGCCTAAAACGCTTCCATGGGGTAAGGCTGGATCATGATGCTCAGTACTCTCACCAAAAATGGAATTTTCAAAAGACATTAAAAAATAATTCATGCAAATATGCCAAAAAACAAAACAAAACAAAACATGTCATGCCAACAAACAAGGAAAAGAAATCAAACTCATAAGAAATGAATGGCTCAAGTATAGCAAATGCAAAACTACTGCAATGGTTATATCAAATGTTAGCAGGTACACTCTCATATACTACTCATCATATAAAAGCAATACAGTCTTTGAGAAAGGTTAAAATGCAAAAAGGTTTCAGCTCTTTTAGAAAGCAGTTTGCCAATACATATTAAAAGACTAAAACTATGCATCCTTTTTGAGTCAGCAATTCCATCTCTGGGATTAAAGTATATCTTCTCACCATGTAACTGCCATTGAAAAGGATGCTTTCAAAGACTATGCAACATGCAAAAACGTCCATTATATTAAATTAAAAAAAAAAATGGGACATAAAATTGAATGTTTAATGCAATAACAGTTATTTAAAAATAGACACAATGCACTGAAGCAAAAAAGAAACAAATCAAGTATTAATTGTTATTGTTGTTTTGGGGCAGAATAATTATGGGTAATTTTCTTTCTTCCCTCCTTCCACCTCCTTCCTTCTTTTTATTTATCTATCTGTACCTATTCAATAAGATTTAAGTAAAGACCTTTATCATCTCCTTTAATGATATATGCTAATAGAATAGAGACTTTCCTCCTTTAAAACATAATGTTCTCACCCACAAAAAACCAATGTCTTTCCAAAACTACTGAATTACACACTTTAAATAGGTGTGAATGACATTTCATTAAAGCTGTTATTAAAAGTAAAACAAACAAACAAAAAACCCCAATGTCCCCTTAGCAGTCTTCTATCCAATGAATTATCTGGTCCAGGTTTGCCCACATGGCATGAGCTATGAAGACTTACCATATCAGCCAGAGCAATATACAAGAACATTCCTCCAGCCAGTGCGAAGATCCAGTTGGCAGAGAAGTGGCTGCCGGCTAGGATCCCAAACGCCAGGCCCACATAACAGCAGCAGGCAGAAAGAAAGTTGAAGAAGAGAGCTTGCTGGATACTCATCCCAGCATTGAGCAGGATCACAAAATCTCCTACAGTCAGAGAACAAGAAGGGGAGGGATGTTGAAAGAAGAGTCTTACAAGGTCTTGGGAGACAGAACACTGATGAGGACTGACTGCATAACTATGGATAAAGTGTGGGTTAAAAATCATGACAGTCGGTCACAGATTTGAGATTGAGGTGATAAGACTAAGTCCCCTTCATTTTAAATTCAGGAGTTGTCTCCATGGAAGAACCTGGCCACGTACTTCCAGCCTAGAGGATAAAAATATTTCATAGGATTTTAAAAACAGATAACTAACTAGCAATGGTCTCATTTCTCTTTTGATGGATGGTGAAATATTAGGTGCTCTTTTCCTCACAACTACAATGAAGAGTACTTTTCAGTAATTAAATTGAGACTGAGAGAAATTACATCTTTTGCCCAAAGTCACAAGCCAATAAACAGCAAAGCTAAGATTTGATTTTGAGTCCAAAATCCATACTTTTCCATACCTGACAGCTCATAAATTAAGTACCAGACCTCCTAACCCCTGGCTCATCCACTTCATCCTCCCTCAGACTTCTAAGATAAATCTCAGCCTTTGGGAGATTAACAAGATGGCCTTTATTGAGCACTTAGAATAGTGTGTGGCACACAGTAAGCCCTTTTTCACTATTTATTTCATTAAATCCCCACGATGATACTATGAGGTAGATACTATCATTAACCCCATTTCATAGGTAAGGAAAACTGAGTCACAGGAAATGGGTGTAGAGGAAAACAAACATTCCTGTAAAAACTCTATCATTTTAAATAATTTGACTGTTAAGAAATAGTGGTTTTGATACCACATAGTTTTTTACTAGTTGCCATCAAGTTAATTCTGATTCATGGTGACCCCCGTGTGCACAGTAGAACTGTGCTCCATAGGGTTTGCAATGGCTGATTTTTTGGAAGGAGATCACTAGGCCTTTCTTTCAAGGTGCCCCTGGTAGCCTTGAACCCCTAACCCTTAGGTTAGCCGCTGAGCATGTAAATTGTTCGCAGTACCCAGGGACTCCATCAGACAGTTCAGGTACCACGTAAATTAACTACAACAGGCATTCTGAAGGAGATTATCAAGGGATAATCTGTAAGAAGGATGCTGCACGAGAACCATGGTAACAAAAGTGGAACAGGGAAATATATGCTTACCTAGTTCATGTGGAAACTCCTCACAGAGGATGGCCACTGAAGTGCTGATGCCTTGGAAAACAGACACAGTGAAGGAGGCACCAATGGCCAGGCCATCGATGAAATTGTGGAGGCCATCACTCAGGGTGATCATCCAGGCCAGAGTGCCAATATCAGAGTAGCGGACACCTTTTAGCCAGTAACATGTGCTTTGGGAAGCCTGCAGGTCCTATAAGAAAGCCCATCCCATGTCAAAGGGTGGACCATGTACTTTCAAAGTAAACATGAGTCATCAAGGCGATTACCACTTTAAGGCTCCCACCAAGCAGCTGATGGCGCACTGACCTGGACAGACAGTGACCCCACAATGACCTTTTCATCCATCATGGGGGCCTTGCCATCTGGCTCGCTGTTCCGGTGTTGAGGGATCATGTGGTCCAGATCCCCATTCTGTAGCTTCTCCGTCACACCCTCCTCCTGGTCCTTCTTGCAAGGAAGTGTTTCAGAGGCATAATGGCTATGTCCATGATGATGCTGGAGGGACAATGGGGTGGGGGAGAAAGGGGGGCTGTCAGCATAAACTCACAAAGTCATAAACCTTAATGAGCACCTACTCTGACTCATTGCTACTAACGAAGAAAATACATAAATGGAAGAACATCCCATGCTTGTGGACAGGAAGACTGAACATTGTGAAAATGTCAATTCTATCCAAAGCAATCAATACATTCAATGCAATCCCAATCCAGATCCCTCAACATTCTTTAAGGATATGGAAAAACCAATCACTAACTTTATATGGAAAGGAAAAAGACCTCGGAGAAGTAAAGCACTATTGAAGAAGAACAAAGTAGGAGGTCTCACACTGCCAGATCTCCAAACCTACTATACAGCGACAGTAGTCAAACTGCCTGGTATTGGTTTAATGATAGACACATAGACCAATGGAATAGAATTGAGAACCCAGAAATAGATCCATCTACCTATGGTCAGCTGATCTTTGACAAAGGGCCAAAATCCATTAAATGGGGGACAGAATGTTTGTTTAATAAATGGTGCTGGCAACTGGAGATCCAT